TCTTGAAACCTGGAGCCTGCTTTGGAGTCTGTGTCTCCCTCTCTCTTGGCCTCTCCCCCACTCACTCGCTCTCGCTTTTTCTCTCTCTCTCTCAAAAATAAATAAATGTTAAAAAAAAATTTTTTTATTTTTAACCCTGAGTTAATCATCAGGGCTTCTGAGAGCTGGTGACAGTGGCCTAGAAGCACTGACAGAAAAGAGAAAGGAACTGTTGCGTCCTTTGCTCACAAAAACAGTTTCAAGAAATGAAACCGTCATGGTAGCAAAACTGGAACTCAAGAGGGAAACACATACTTGCAAAGAAGAAAATCAAAAGACCGCATTATTCACATGCCAAGAATTATCACCCAGTTCTCCCCAGACTTCAAATCAAACTACAAGTCTATGGAGCAGTGATAAAGGAAACCTTTCTACGCAGCTCCACTATGAGCCTCGTATCTGTGAAAACAAAACACTTCCCCAAATCCTGCACGAGAATCTAACCTTCGTTTAACTGTCTGGCTCTTCTCTCTGGAAATGAAGATGGCAGAGGCCAACTGTGTTTCTAAGTAACACTGCTTGTGATTTTTCTAAAATTTTTTTTTAATTTTTTTTTTTTTTTTTCAGAGAGAGAGAGAGAGAGAGAGCATGCGTCTGAGCACACATGAGCCGGGGAGTGGTAGAGGGAGAGGGAAAGAGAGAATCCTACACAGGCTATAAGCCCAGCGAGAAGCCCAACACAGGGCTTGATCCCACGAACCTGTGAGATCACGACTTGAGCCAAAATCAAGAGTCAGAAGCTCAACTGACTGAGCCACCCAGGCGCTCCTGTTTGCGATTTAAAAAGAGGCTTGACGGGTACAATGTGTCTGGACTGGGAAAGGGCACGATGACTCTTGGAGCTGGCTGTCTCTTCCGGGGATCCTGGGAGCTCTACCAACACAGCTGGTGCAGGAGATAGTGGCCTCTGTGGGACATGAAGTGTTTGTACCTGCCCTAGGAAGATCCCCGCCCCTTGCACCTGAGCTATGCTGTTCAGGCTTCTGGAAGAACTCTCCCTGGAAGGAATGCCTGAAGTTGCCCTGCCTGCAAGAATGTTCTCAACAGACTTGTGCCAAGAGGGGGTCTACGAGCATCTTGTGAGTTGGAATGTCTAGGTGAACTTTAATGACCTCTTAGTGGCAGCCTCTCATGTGTACCATAAACCACTTGTCCTCCCTATCATTGCCATGGTCATAGTCAACACACAGAGCACACAACACACAGAGCCAGGCACTGTGACTCTTCGCATACTGTATGGTTCATCCATGATACTGAGGGAGATACCAGAATCATCCCATTTCCCAGCTGAGTGTACTGGGGCAACTCTGGGGTTATGTTGGTAGGTGGGGGGCTAGATAAGGGAAGGAGGAGAGGGGAAAAAAAGACCGTGCTAATATACCTAAGACTTGCCCTGGGTAGTGACCTGATACAGCACAATCTAGCATCAGTCAAGTAGAAAAGGGAAACTACAGTTAAGCAAAGGTAGGTGGTAATTACAGGAGGCCACACGGTGAAACAGAGGCCAGATCTCCCCATGGGAGTCAGGTGGGAGGTCACAGAGGTTAAGCAAAGGACAGTCTTCACATGTCTCTCTCAAAGAAACACTGAGCACAGGTCTCTGGGGCTTCACCTGCCCAGAGGGGGAAAGAAATCTTCCACGGCTTCATTCCAAAATTCAAAGAACAAAGATATATACACGCAAATGCATACATACCCATATGTATGCATACATGTAAATGCATATGCACAGACACATTCACACCCATCTGCATCAGTGTGTACATGTGTGTATATTTAAATGTGTGTGGGTTAGAAAACCCCATTTCACCACATCACATTTCACACATTTACGAGCCAGGCAAAGCTGAAACAAAGGGGGCACCTGGGTGGCTCAGTCGGTCAAGCTTCCGACTTCTTCGGCTCATGTCACGATCTCGTAATTTGTGAGTTCGAGCCCTGTGTCGGGCTCTGTGCTGACAGCTCGGAGCCTGGAGCCTGCTTCAGATTCTGTGTCTTTCTCTCTCTCTGTCCCTCCCATGCTCATGCTCTGGCTCTCTCTGTCTCTCAATAATAAATAAACGTTAAAAATTTTGAAAAAAAGCTGAAGCCAAGAACATGTTCTTACTTACGGTGTCCCACATCACGATGTACACATCTGTACTGAATGAATTATTAACGTGCTGAGTAATATAAAGATTGATAAAATCACAGAAGTGGTGATACATGTTAACACCTGGTATTGGAAAAAAAGAAATCGATGTTAATTAACCCCAAAGAGCAAAGGATTAAACAATTTTTATTCACCCCACCTATTTATAGTGTGATAGACTTTTAGCTGAAAATAATTGGGACAAAAACATAAGAGTTTTTCCAAAAGCGAAAGGATCTGTACTTGGGAAGTCCTCAATTAACTGATGATTGGGTTCAAAAAATCACTTTAAAATTGTCCATTTAGAAATCAGGAATGCATTTTCCCCTATATACACTAAGTAACCAATGAACAGTAAATTCCAAGAAAAAAATAAGAGAAGTCTATTTAGCTCAAAATGCAGTAGAACTATAAGGCCAAAAAGAGTAATTTTATTTTTTATGATCATTTATTTTTTTAAATGAATCAAGCAATATGTATTTACCATAGAAGTATGGACAATGATGGCACTTTTAACATTTTGGTATTTTTCATTCCTTTTTAATCGCTATTTATAGCATTGCTTCTTGGGAAAATATTAACCAACTACCATTTGAAAGGGCTGAGTCTCTCATGTTCTAATAGAAACAGCATGAACTTTGGAGTCTGAAGAACCATGTTGAATCCCAGCTCAGCCATTCAGGAGCAAGGTTTTCACAAGAGGTGATAAAGTCCCCACGCTTTAGCTTCTCTAGGAGAAATAGGAAATCCTTATACTTAGGTGCCAGCTTTGTTAGGAGGAATGCAAAGAAAATGTACCTAAAAGTATCCGGCCCTGCGCCTGGCACAGAGGGAAACTGTAATGAAGACAACCTGGATCCTGCCGGGTCAAACAGGGGCGAAGGAAGTGTGTGTGCAGCTATTTCTAAATTTGTAAGTCGGTCATTAAAAAGAAACCAAACATGCACTCTTTCGACTTAGGTATGCAGGACCCAGTATCCAAACTGGCAACGTGCAAATCTAAAGGGGACGAAATTCCAAGAAATGACATTCAAAACATGCACTTTGGGGCGCCTGGGTGGTTCAGTGGGTTAAGTGTCCGCCTTTGGCTCAGATCATGATCTCGCGGTTCGTGGGTTTGAGCCCCACGTCGGACTCTGTGCTGACAGCTCAGAGCCTGGAGCCTGCTTTGGATTCTTGTGTCTCCCTCTCTCTCTGCCCCTCCCCTGCTGGCATTCTGTCTCTCTCTCAAAAATAAGCAAACATTAAAAAAAAATTTTAAACATGCATTTGAAAAGAAAAACAGTGACTCTGAAAAGCAGAAATCATAAAATATTCTGACTTCATTCCCACGGTGAGTAATAATGTTGTGTGCCAGAAAATAAGAGTAAAAAATACTCAGTTTATAGAAGTCAGGTCATTATGCTGTACATCTTAAAGTTATACAGTGCTCTATGTCAATTACATCTCAATAAAACAAAGAGAAAAAAATTATTTTTAGACTGGTAACTAATTATTTTTTTTTAATTTTTTTAATATTTATTTATTTTTTGAGAGAGAAACGGAGTGTGAGCTGGGGAGGGGCAGAGAGAGAGGGAGACACAGAATCTGAAGCAGGCTCCAGGCTCTGAGCTGTCAGCACAGAGCCCGATGCGGGGCTTGAACCTACAAACTGTGAGATCATGACAAAGTCAGACACCCAACCAAGTGAACCACCCAGGCTCCCCTAGACTGCAATCTTAGATGAGTATTTGGAAAGACTCCTTTATGTATTCAGAACAATTTAGCAAAGAGCACATTTTCAAGTTACTAAGAAAAAGAAGGTTCTATGACAACACATCCTTATTTCCAGATGAGTGCACAGCACACATTAGCTCCCCCATGGATCATCCGGCAAGTTTGTAACAGGTACTGAGGGACGCGCCACAGACCAGTGTGGCCAAGGAAGGAGAAAACATGGGTCCCATTCTCAAGAAATGTGCCCCCGAATGAGTCGTGTTCTGTAAAATGCTCATTCTCTGACGGTAAGAGTCAAGGTGAAAAGGGAAACGGGATGAGGGTGTAGTCAGAAGAAAAAGAGTTACAAACATAGGAGAAGAAACAGCCCAGGGCTACGCTAGCCTATTATTCCTACTTTACCCATTTTACTGCCTGAGTAGGGGCATCCGTTTAACAGCTCATACATATCCACCTCTTTTCAGGCAGATCACAGAGTTTTCTTTGCCCCTTTTCAATTTGCATATTTAAAACAAGAGTCAGGACCTCGAACACAGCATTCTTACTTGCTCTCATTCCAAAAACCACAACGGGTCTGATTTCTGAACCTAATGCTTTGTTATATAAGAATTACAGCTTCAGAAAACAGAAGCATTAAAAATATGATCAATACATTATAGTAATTCTGAAATATTTGTGACAGAGAGCTCTCTATATTTCACTGGAAGCCCGGCCCCTCATGCATTGTGATACGGCATGGCAGAATAAACTTTATCTTTTTTAAAATTTGTTTTTTATTTATTTTGAGAAAGAGAGAGCAAGTGGTGAGGAGCAGAGAGAGAGGGAGAGACAGAATCCCAAGCAGGGTCCATGCAGTCAACACAGAGCCCGATGCGGGGCTTGAACTCAAGAACTGTGAGATCATGACCTGAGCAGAAGAGTCGGACACTTAACTGACTGAGCCACCCAGGCACTCCATGATCTTTTTCTCTCATAATAAGACACATAATATAGCACGATCCACGTTTTTCCTCTCTGGAGCAACTGGTTCACAAAGTTAAAGCTGTCCTTGAAAGGTGAGAGTCAGAAGCTATAGGTACAAATGGGAAAATAATGTAACTAACTTTTTGCCCCTAATAATACACTGCACTGCTAACTTCAGAGGAATTTTCATTTCCCTTCAGTCATGGAAAGGATTTTAGAAAGTCTGCCAGAAGAGGAAGGGCATTCCTCTCCTACCCACGATATATACATGGCTTTTCCTTTTAAATTTTTTCTAAGGAAGCACAACACAAATCAAGTTATTGCAGAAACCAGATGGGGTAAATTTAGCCACAGAAGGTGTCCATAGACCTTTTTCTCTCATCTTTTGATTCTGATAGAGTCATCTGATACGAATGTCCAGGTCTCCACTAAAATACCAAAAGTATCATATAATGGGAAGTTCAAACTAGCTCCCTTCTTCAGAGAAGGAACCCACTTCAAAAAGCAAACCCACTATTTAATGTCACACAGCCTCCCAGAAAGTCACAGGAAATCACTACATACACATATCAAAGAAGGAACAATGCCTTATTCACTGATAAATAAATAACAGGCAAGTTTAACTTCTCACCTGCATCCAGTTTCATGAAGTAGGTTGGTTTTTCAATAACAACGTCACATTCAGCAGCTTCTATGGGTCTGAAGGCGAGCTGAGTATAGCTTTGTAGCTCAGCAAACCTGGAATTAAGAGTTGGGAGATAGTTTCAAAGGGATCCTCCTGAACTTCCTACTATAATACTGTAACTCAGGATGTGCTCATTAGGGGGACTTTATTTCTAGAATATGCTCTTATGAAGACAAGTGGAACTTCTCAAACTTACTAACATTTATATAACTTGATAATGATTTTAAGATTGAGACAAGGAAGAAAGATGACAGCTTCATGTACAAGATAAAGCAGGAATTTTCCAGACAAAAAAGAAATCTACACAATGCATTGGCTAAATAATCTACCAGTAAAGTGGGAAGATTCAAAAAGCCTTCTTGTGATCTTGTGGTAGACTTTAGGATTCTAAAACAGATGGCTTTCCAAAAATTATTGAGTGCCTCAGAAAGACAGCAGACAGCTAAGCCTCCCGTTAGAAAGTAAAGCCTTTTTCTCAGAAAATGTCTTTGGAGACCATATGGTACAGTTTTCTTCCCTACAAAAGAAGATAATCATGGGCATGTGCCAAAAGATAATTAACCTAAAGATTATAACTCTTCATTTTTGAGACAACTGATGTAAAACAAATATCAAACAAATCCTGTTAAAATACACACAATGCCGAATTATTGTGGTGATTTCAAAAATAGGTCCACAAATTCTCTGATACTTCTCCCTTCAAGAGGTAGAGATTAACTCCCTCCCCTTAAGTGTGGGCCGGACTTCGTGATTTACTTCCAATGAACAGAATATGGCAGAAATGATGGTATATGACTTCTGAGATTAGAGTACACAAAGACCGAAGCCTCTATCCTAGGGCACGTGCTTAGTCTCTCTCTCTCTCTCTCTCTGTCTCTCAGAGCCGGCTACCATGCTGTGAGTAGCACTAAGGGAGAGGTCCATGTGGCAAAAACATGGCACCAGACACAGAGAAAGTGAAACTTACCACAACATGAGGGAGCCTAGAAGCAGAGTCTCCAAGCCGACTTGAGCCTAGGGATGGCTAAGCCTTTGTCAATAGCTGAACTGCAACCTTGTGAGAGACCCTGAGCCAGAACCGGCCAGCTAAGCTGCCTCCAAATCCTGACCATCAGAAACTTCATGAGATAATAAAGTTTGTTGTCTTAAACTGTAAAATCTTGGAGTAGTTTGTTATCAAATAGATAATGAATGAAAATATACCCTAGTGCATATTTGGGAGTAATTTGTTACATGGCAATAAATTACTAATATAAATACACCAGAGGGAACTACCACCATGTGAAATCAGATATCGAAACATACTAGGTAATCAAACAGCTCACTGCAGTAGAGGTACTCCTACTGCAAAACTCACATTAAGTGTTGAAAAGAAAAAAGAGGCCCAAAATGGAGTCACTTGTGCTAAGCCCACGTCACCAAACCGAACCTTAATGCCTAACCTAATTACACTTTCCAACTTCTCTAGGAATGGAGTCTTAAGCAGCCAGTCCGTAATTTTCTGGTCAGCACCAACAAGGCCATCTACCACACAGAGTCCACCTCCCCCACAGGAAGATGAAGGGATCTGCTCTTTTTCTTGTCCCTGCCCCCTTCTGCCTATAAAAGCAGAAGCATTTTGTACAGCTTCTTGGAGCTCTTCTCTGTTTGCTAGATGGGAGGCTGCCCAATTCATGAATCGCCGAGTAAAGCCAACTAGGATCTTCCAAGTTACTCAGGTGAATTTTGATTTTTAACCTCAGTTAAGGAAGATACTGCATTGCAGATTGTAAAATGCCCTATAAATGTATGGCGGATTATTATCCTGAAGGATTTGCTGAGCATGAATGTTTGGCCTCAAAAATTAACATTAAATAAGACTATGCTATGTGACTTGTGATATTGTGATTTATAATAAGATATATACATATTTGGTCTTCATCCCCATTTCTGGCCAAGGGAGAAAGCCCTTGGAATTTCAAAGCCAGGAAAGTGTCTTTTGTTACGCTAATGAGGCACTTTTCGACCTCCCTAAGGTTGGGGGCTGGCTGCCAGAAGAATCACCACATCACCCAATCAGAATCACTGTTATTAGAGGGTTGGACCTTTCAGTCCCACCCCCACACCTTAGGGGAATGAAGAAGGGCTGGAGTTTGAATCAACTGTCATGGAGGTAAGGAAGCCCCCACGAAAACCTAACAGGAGAGGACTTGGAAGGTTTCTGGGTTGGGGAACACGTGGGGTGCCTGGAGAAGGCACAGAAGCTCTGCGCCCCTTCCCCACACCTTGCTCTATGCAACTCTTCCATCTGGGTGTTCCTGAGCTACATCCTTCTAGAATAAACTGGTAGTCTAGTAGGCAAAATATTTCTCTAAGTTACTTGAGCCACTCTAGCAAAATCTAACCCAATCTACAGCCGACGGATCAGTCAGAAGCACAGGTGATCCCCTGGGCTTGTAACTGGGGTCTAAAATGGGCGGGGGGACAGTCTTGTGGGACTGAGCTCTTAACCTATGTGGGATCTGATGTTGTCTCTGGGTAGATGGTGTCAGAATTGAGTTGAATTGTAGGACAGCCAGCTGTTGTTGGACAACTGCTCGGTGGCACGTGGAAAATGTAACATATACGCTGGAACTGAGTGCTCAGCTAGACTAAAGGGGTAGCACGGGAGTTTCTTTGAGATGACAGAACAGTTCTGTGTCCCGATTGTGTTAGTGGTTGCATGCACACAGACGTATGATATAAATTTCACAGAATTATGCATCCAAAAATAAAAAATAAAAAAGAGTGCATGCAAGCACTGGTGAAATTCAAATATGTTTACTTAATATTATTGCAACAATGTCAATTTCCTGGTTTTGATCATTGTGGTTATGTTAGATATCATCATTAGAGGAAGCTGGGATAGGGGTACAATGGGAACTCCTTGCGCTATCTAAACTTCTGGAAGTCTACAATTATTTCCAAATAAAAAGTTTTAAAAAAAAGTTTTTTTAAAGTACCCTAATTTGTTCATTTCTAGATACGGTCAATTAGACCAAAGAATTAGTAAAAATGTTTTAGGAGCACCTGGGTGGCTCAGTCGGTTGAGCATCCGACCCTTGATTTCGGCTCAGGTCATGATCTCATGGTTCCTGGGTTCAAGCCCCACATTGAGCTCTGCACTGACAGTGCAGAGCCTGCTTGGGATTCTCTCTCTCCTCTCTCTGCCCCTCCCCTGCTCATACTGCCATGCTCTTTCTGTCTTTCTTTGTCTCCCAAAGTAGATAAATAAACTTCAGAAATATGTTTTAAATCAAAATATTTTCTCCAGTTTATATAAAGTTCAAAAAGTTGATCAGAAGTGTTGAAAGTCGGGGCAGGGTTTCCCTTTGAAGAGGAGTCTTGGGTGCTGGTGATGGTCTATGTTTCACCAGGGTAAGAGTTATACAGCTAGGTTCACTTCTTCATCATCCAAACTGTACCCTCCTCTATATGCTTGTTACGTACTTCATTAAATACTTATTTCTTTAAAAAATGTGTTCCCCTGGGGCGCCTGGAAGGTAAGGTGGTTGAGTGTCTGACTTCGGCTTAGGTCATGATGTCATATTTCATGGGTTCGAGCCCCGCGTCGAGCTCTGTGCTGATAGCTCGGAGCCTGGAACATGCTTTGGATTCTGTGTGTGTGTCCCTCTCTCTCTGCCTCTCCCCCACTCACACTCTGTCTCTATCTCTCAAAAATGAATAAATGTAAAAAGAAAAAAAAATTTTAAAGATAAAAAATGTGTTCTCCAAACACATGCACAATTATGAAGAGTTAATAAAATTTCATTTTTGAACAGATTTTTTTTCTTTCATTGGCAGTCAGTAAATCGTGTACCATACTTCCTAATATTTTATAAACATATATTTAATTCAAATACAACTGACAGATTCACTCTGTAGCCATCACTCCCTGAAGGCTCATGCCAAATTCTCTACAAATAAAGTAACATTTTCCATTTAAAAGTCCCTCCCAAGGTCTGCAAGTGCCAGAAATCAAAGCAAATATTTTAGAAATATATATATATACATATTTTTTAAATCTTACCAGGACTGCAGAGGGCTTTTGCGCTGACCTTGAGACATCAATGTATGAATGTCAAGTGTGCAGTGTCCTCCAATTTCGCCACTCTGGAAAAAATCTTCCTTAAATCTGGTGGATGACAAAAAATTAAGCGGAGTTTGAGAAATTTTATCACTGTTCAAGCACACAGGATGTAACTAATGTGGTTTACAAAATCCGTTCCTCGTTAGAATTTAACTCTTTAAAACAGAATGCTTCGAACATAAACAAAAGTAGCAGAATGGTACAGAAACCTGATGGACCCATAATCCAGCTTCACAATGATCAGCTTGTGGCTTGACTGGGCTTCCATCCTCCACCCATTCCCCGACCTCATCGCCATATTACTATGAAGCAAGTCCAAGCCATATCCCTGGACCTGGAAATATTTCCAAATTTCTACTCGATTTTAACATCAACCATTGAAATACCTGTCATGGTCTCTCTTGATGTTTCTTAAATCAAGATAGAGATTGGTTGCTCTGCAGTACTGAAGATAACGGGAACATACCAGACTTGAGTCATTCTGAAACAAGGTGGAGAAGAAAGAAAAAAATAACTCCAGGTATTAACATTTCGAGGACACACTCAGCCTTGCTAGACAGATTGACAGGATGTACATGTTCGGGCTGAAACCACACCACGTGATGAGAACAGCTTCTGAAAGCCTGCTGCTGTTGATGCATTTTTCTCCTCCCCAGCAGACTCTGGTCAAGCATAGTTTTGCCAGTGTGCACACTTTTAGGTTACTGGGAAAACTCCCAAATGTACTATTTATATCATCTCAAATTTTAAAGCCAAGAGCTTTATGTGTGGTTTTGCTGTGCTCTAAAAAAAAAAAAAAAGAAAGCTCTCAGAGCCATCAGTATCTCACAGCTATGAGAAAAAGCATTTTTCAAAGCCAAGCCAAATGCAACAAAGAAGAATGCACACATTAAGAGACATTAAAGCGAAGGCTGGAAGGGCAGTTGCCAATTTTAATAAGAGGTGCTTTCTACAAACTATAACACTTCTCAGAGTCTCTCTTTCAACAGCAGTAAAAGGGCAATGTTTTTTAAATCACTGTAATAAAAGAGCAAAAGAGTCAACTACCAGAGCCTGTTTTTTTTTGTTTTGTTTTGTTTTGTTTTTAACCAATCTGGTTTGTGCTGAAATAGGGACAGTTTCAAAACCTGTTATCTGCTCTGGATTTTATTTATGGATTTAAATGCCATCTTACTGTTTTCCCGTAATTTCCCCAATGAACACAAGGCCCTAACCTTAACCCACATGGTGTTTTGGAATCCATAGTTGGTAAGAGATCATATTCTGATTGCACAAAATGTGTCACTGTAGATCTTGTCCAGGAAAGCATTCTACAAACTGCCTTGGAGGAGGTGTGTGAGGTGTGGAATGGCTCTCCCTTTGTGCCCGCCACAAGAACATCTGGGCTCCAGCCAAACTGTGTGGCATACACAAAACGATGTCTTGTAAGGGTGTCAGCAGCAGTGCAGGTTAAAGCCACAAATTCCTCCTTCGGGGTTCATCCACCTCCCTACAATTGCTTCAAGTTCTATTACGTGGTATCTCCCAAAGCACCACAGAGCACATATTCCACTTCTTAACGAAAGTGAATTAAGAATTTTTTAAAAATTTTCTGGATTGCCTGGAGATAACAGAGACCCCTGAGAGGTCAGAGACATGGCCAGGGTTCAAGAACCCTGGCAGATAGGAGACCTTAATAATAAGTGCTTACACTATCAACAATAGCCAAAGTATGAAAAGAGCCCAAATGGCCATCGATGGATGAATGGATGAAGAAGATGTGGTAGATACATACAATGGAGTATTACTCGGCAATCAAAAAGAATGAAATCTTGCCATTTGCACCTACATGGATAGAACTGGAGGGTATTATGCTAAGTGAAATTAGTCAGAGAATGACAAAAATCGTATGACTTCACTCATATGAGGACTTTAAGAGACAAAACAGATGAACATAAGGGAAGGGAAACAAAAATAATATAAAAACAGGGAGGGGGGCAAAACAGAAGAGACTCTTAAATATGGAGAACAAACAGAAGGTTACTGGAGGGGTTGTGGGAGGGGGGATGGGCCAAAGGGGTAAGGGGTATGAAAGAATCTAGCCCTGAAATCATTGTTGCACTATATGCTAACTTGGATGTAAATTAAAAAAATAATAATAAAAGAAAAAAAGAAAAAAATAATAACCAGTGCTTACAGGGGTGCCCAGGTGGCTCAGTAGGTTAAGCATCTAACTCTCCATCTCAGCTCAGGTCATGATCTTGCACTTCGTGAGTGCCAGCCCTGCACTGGGCTCTACGCTGATGGTGCAGAGCCTGCTTGGGATTCTGTCTCTCCTTCTCTCTGCCCCTCCCTCGTTTGTGTTCCTTCTCTCTCTTTCCCAAAATAAATAAATAAATTTAGAATAATAGTAAGTACTTACAACCCATGAACCTTTAAAAACTAACCCTGAGCCCTTCGCTGGAAACCCAGTCCCACACTGAGCATTTTTACAAGCAGAATTCCATTTCATCCCCACCATAAGCTATGACACAGGCATGGCTTGAAAGGAAAAGAAACTGAAACATGGCAAGGTTGGGTGCTCTAAGAATCAGGTTTTGAACCCTGCCCTGTGGAGACTGCTCTTCTCCTGACCACCCAGAACTGGCTCTTAGCAACGTGCACGGCTGACCCACTGAGGGCAGTGCACGGTTGAAAGCACACAGAAAGAGATCTGTATCTGAGTTCTAGACGTACAAGCGTGGACGTCTACACGTCTACAAGCGTGGTCTTGGAGAAGCTGCTTAACCTCTCTGAGGACTTTGTTTTTCTCTCTGGTCAAACGGCATCAGTAATCCCTGCCCTGTCTATCTGCTCTAAGGCTTGCGAAAGTCAAGCTAGCTGACAAGGAGAAAAGGCTTTCGCGAACCATCAAGTCCTAAACAAACACAGAGCAGTATGGTGGGGGTGTATCATCTGTCCCAAACGACTTGCAAGGGAATCTGGAAAGAAGCAATTTATCTTCTTTAGCCTATGTTGGAGGAAAATTCTAAACCTAGTTATATTTTAACTGTCTCAAAATATGACCTTCTGAGATATGTGTGAAAATGAGGACATGGCTTCCAAATGACACAGAACAACTTGTTTTAGAAGTTAAATAAAAGTTGAAGCCAGGGCTTCAGTCGGTGAAGTGTCCGACTTAGGCTCAGGTCATGATCTCATGGTTCCTGGGATCGAGCCCCTTGTTGGGCTCTGTGCTGACAGCTCGGAGCCTGAAGCCTGCTTCAGATTCTGTGGCTCCTTCTCTCTCTGCCCCTGCCCCACTCACTCTCTCTCTCTCTCTCTCTCTCAAAAAATAAATAAACATAAAAAAATTTTTTCAAGTTGAAGCCAATAAATAAGTGAGTATGGATTCCTCTCATGGAGCCTTGCTTTTACATGAAAACCCAAACACTAACAAGTATTTGAAAATAAACACGCACCGTTTCCTCAGGCTGGCAGAGCACGTGAAGTTCTTCCAGTCGCTCTCCGGCATATCCAAAGTCAGCTTGTTTCCAGAATATGTCCTGGGCTGATTCAAGGGTATCTGTCCTATTCGCAATCACAAAGATGCCATTATTTTTCTCTTTTTCGCTTTTCTGAGCCTTGAGTTTCCTTTCTTTCTTTTTTTTTTTTTTTCTTCAACGTTTATTTATTTTTTTGGGGACAGAGAGAGACAGAGCATGAACGGGGGAGGGGCAGAGAGAGAGGGAGACACAGAATCGGAAACAGGCTCCAGGCTCTGAGCCATCAGCCCAGAGCCTGACGCGGGGCTCGAACTCACGGACCGCGAGATGGTGACCTGGCTGAAGTCGGACGCTTAACCGACTGCGCCACCCAGGCGCTCCGAGTTTCCTTTCTAAAGGTGAAATTGCTAAAAGTTTTTTGAACTATCATAATCTTCCTGTAACTCCTTTGAGACATCAAGATACCAAAATAAGTTACTTACAGACTTACTTTCTTTTACTGAAAATACACAACAGAAATTTATTAAGTTAGGGTCATCTGGAACTCAAGAAAACGAGCTGCTTATTACTGTATTTTCTTTAGCTGGTATGCACTGGTGCCCCAGCAGCACTTTAGATTCTCTAAGTGTCTCTAAAACATAAAACGTGTACTTTTAGCCTGGTCTCCCTTTCTCAGATGTTGAGAGATGACTCTAGCCTTTCCAGTGAAGAAAACAAATCTTTAAAGAACTTTCACTCTTACATCTTATAATACATATTCATGTAATAAAAATGATTAGAATAAATCCTAAGAATGGCAGCCTCAAAGTTCTTAACAACAATGGTCTTTAATCACCACTCTCCCAACACCATGTCCATCTGTGCCCCAACCAAAGTGTAGGCTTTACCTACTGTATATACTTCACACTCTCCTCCACACTCGAGGGAGCCATCAGGGGCGCCTGGGTGGCTCAGTTGGTTACACGGCCGACTTCAGCTCAGGTCATGATCTCACGGTCCGTGAGTTCGAGCCCCACGTGGGGCTCTGTGCTGACAGCTCAGAGCCTGGAGCCTGTTTTGGATTCTGTGTCTCCCTCTCTCTGACCCTCCCCTGTTCATGCTCTGTCTCTCCCTGTCTCAAAAATAAATAAAAACGTTAAAAAAAAATTTTTTTTTTTTTAAAAAGAGGGAGCTATCAATTTATCTTTTTAGTGTTTGTTGGGGTAAAATATTTTCTAGTGATCCATATTGTTTTTCCCTCTTGGTAGAGGTAAAAAGACATATTCCTGCACAGGGTGGCAAGAAGGAGGGGAGGCAAGTCAACTTGAATTCATCACTGTATAAGCAAATTAATATCTAAAAGAATTACTATCTAAAACCAAAAGAGTTTGTCGGGGAAGTGGGGCATCAGCATACAATGCAGAGAAGGATAATTTAAAGGGGAGGAGGGGGTGCCCGGGTGGCTCAGTCAGTTAAGTGTCCGACTTTGGCTCAGGTCATCATCTCACAGTTTGTGAGTTCGAGCCCCACATCAGGCTCTGTGCTGACAGTGTGGAGTGTGCTTGGGATCCTCTGTCTCCCTCTCTCTCTGTGCATCGCCACACATGCCCTCTCTCTGTCAAAAATAAATAGACATAAAAAAAAAGAATTTAGGGGCGCCTGGGTGGCGCAGTCGGTTAAGCATCCGACTTCAGCCAGGTCATGATCTCGCAGTCCATGAGTTCGAGCCCTGCGTCAGGCTCTGGGCTGATGGCTCAGAGCCTGGAGCCTGTTTCCGATTCTGTGTCTCCCTCTCTCTCTGCCCCTCCCCCGTTCATGCTCTGTCTCTCTCTGTCCCAAAAATAAATAAACGTTGAAAAAAAAAATTTTTTTTTAAATAAAAATAAAAAAAATAAAAAAAAAAAGAATTTAAAGGGGAGGAGGATTCCATCTAGAAGCTTACCATCCCATGTCGACGTAGGTACAAAGAGGGTAGCCAAACCTGAACTCTGGTTTGCAGGATTTCTCATAACCCCAGCAGAACTTTAGATTCTCTAAGTGTTTCTAAAAAAACAAACGCGTACTTTTAGACTAGTCTCCCTTTTTGGGACATTAAGAGACGACTCTAGTTTTTTCTGTGAAGAAAACAAATCTTTACAGAACTTTCACCCTTACATCTTATAATACATATTCATGTAATAAAAATCATTAGAATAAATCCTAAGAATGGCAGTCTCAAAGTTCTTAACAACAATGGTCTTTAATCACCACTCCCCCAACACCATGTCCGTCTGTGACCCAACCCAAGTGTAGGCTTTACCTACATTCCCAAAGACTACTTGCATTGGAACTTCCTCAAGAAGCCTAATGAAACTGCCTTTCTCAGTGCTCAAAGCGATTCTAAAAGCAGTCCCTAAAGAGTACAAAATGAAATTTCTATGATCAAAAGAACCACAAATTAGATGGATCAGCAACTTTACTCATCAATCAAGATAAGGAGAGACGCCACAAGACGCCACAAGACGGGACAGTTCTGCAGTCCTGGGGGGACCCAGCAGCTCCTGTTGGCCAGAGAGCTTAGTCCGCTTGTCTGCAAGGCCCAGAAGCAAGACTGGTCTCATTCCCAGGTCTGCCTGTCCATGCGCTTCCTGTGTGGGCTCCATGGGAAAGGAAGCGTTTCACAAGGCCCAGCTTTGATCTCTGCGACCTCGACCTCATGAGACGTCTTAATGGGCTCCAATTTGAGGCCTTTCCAACAACCTTAAAACAGAAGGAAGGCCATAGTAACAGTCATAATTAGGTGGAGACAGAGGCGGAGGTGTTATTACCGAAATTAAATGCTAAGAGACCTTCTCAGGAGCAGTTTAAGAAAGAAGAGGTGTGAAGTTCTTCAGTTGCTTTTACCTAGACCTTTTGTCCGAAATCTAATTTACTTTGTTTACAGAGAATACCAATAGTACCGGCTGCCTATTTATTTCATTAGTGATTTAGCTTTTAAATTTTATTAGTGATTTCGACTTTAAATCTCACTCTCATGAATGGGGTATCATTTTAAAAAGCAAAGTTTAGTCACTTAGCAGCACTAGATGAAATGCAAACAAAGTCTTACTACTACCTTACAGAATGCAGCCATCAAGTTCAGGTTATAAAACAGGACTAAAATCCTTTTAAAAAGAACTAAGAGGAGAAAAAACAAGATGAATACCTACCTTATAAGGACAATGGGAGTCTTTCTTACAGACCGTGGCAACGTGCCTATTATTGTGCAAAAAGAAGGGAATGTGTTCCTGTGGCAAGCGAATGCTGGCGTAGTTAAACAGAGGTTCGCCTGGAATGCCATCAGCCTTGGGAGAAGCCTCCTCTTGGCCACTCAGTGAAACACCATGAAGCAATACTCCAAGAATAAGCAGCATTAACATAGCAACCTCCAAACCTAGAGATCCAATTGGAAAGGTTTTTGTTAAGGCATATCCTTTAAAGGTCAAAGAGATCAAGAGCTAAATATAAAGACACCGAACTCTACTGAGTAACATTCCCTCTATTTGACATTTATTGTGCACCTGTTCTGTGCCAGGCACTGTGTTAGGGGCCACCCCGTACACAGGCTTGAACAAAACAAGAAAGGCTCCTGCTCTGTTGGAGCTTATAACCTTTTTCAGACTTTTTCAGTAGAGAGCCAGATAGTGAATATTTTTGGCTTGGGAGGTCCTACAATCTCTGTGGCACTAGGCCACAGTACCTTTGCTATGAAAGAACCCACAGCCCATCCTAAAGAATAGGGGTGGTTGTGTTCTAATAAAATTTTATTTGTGAAAACGGGATGAAGGATTCGATGTGACCCCACTCACATATTACTGATGCTAGAAAGTAGGTAATATGATAGACAACACGGCATGATGGTTAAGAATATGAACTTTGAGACTAGACCAATTGGGTTTGAATCCAGCTACAGTTTCCTGGCTGTATGATCTTGAGTTATTTAATCTCTCTGTGCTTCAGCTTTTCCAACTGTAAAATGGAAATAATAATAAACCTTCCTCATAGGGCTGTTGTGACTTAAATATTGGTAAAATGTTTAGATGTACCTGGCACATTAAATGCTATATAGGTGTTTATGAAATAAATGTTTAAAGCCATGTGGTATGGTGGGGGGAAGGAACAGGTCGCTAAATAGTATTTGAGCTTAGACCTGAATTTTGAGCAAGGAAATCATGCCAGGGAGAAAGAAGAAAAGAAAATGCAAAAGCTCTGAGGATATGTGCATCTGCTGAATAAAAACTAATAATCACGGGATGCCTGAGTGGCTCACACGGTTGAGTGTTCTGACTCTTGGTTTCAGCTCAGGTCATAATCCCAAAATGGTGGGATTGAGCCCCGCATCGAGCTCCACACTGAGAATGGAGCCTGCTTAGATTTTCTCTCTCTTCCTCTGCCCCTCTATCCCTCTTGCACTCTCTCTCTGAAATTTAAAAAAAAAAAAAAAAAAAAAAAAAAAAAAAAAAAAAAAAAAAAAAAAAACACCTAATAATCACAATGGTATATGGGTTCATACTATGTGTCAGGTACTGTTCAAAGTACCAAGGATGTAGCAATGAAGATGTGGTCTAAAACCCCTTACCCTTGTGAAGCTTACATTCTAGGGGGTGTCATACTGATCTATGATAATAGTAACTACAACTTAGAAAACTCCAGGAGGGAAATTCAGGCAGTCTGTCTCAGAGATTGTGCCATTACTCTGTCCCCATCTTGCATTAGCAAGATGAGAAGAGACAATAACCATCATGGGACCTTACTGCAAGTCTATCTCACCCCACAAGGATTAAATCTCAGGGACTAGAATTCTCCTATGTATCCAGACCATAATGATACCATTTCTTGTTCACTTTAGCAGTATATTTTGCTCTGTGAAAAAAAAAGGGGGGGGCTCTTCCCACTGAATGATAGGGCTATATTACACGTAACTACTCCCCAGCAAGATCCACAGTCATCAGGGCATGTTGGAAAACCCAGCTTTCAGAATCAGCCTTCATTGACCCTGGGTCACAAGGACGGGGCCTTTAGGAACAAACTTCAATGTTCAATCCAGCTTCAAGTTCCAAGGCCAAGGCTTCATAACAAAGAGTGTGGACAATGAAAAGGAATCCTTTTCCCCTCTGGAGTAGTAAATATGGTGGGTTCTTTCGTGGCTCTGAAGAATATACTGTTACCTATTATAAAGTGACCTGAATTAATATTTTTAGTTATGACTTTTATACAAGTGAGTTGACAGCAATTTTACAAAATTTAAAAATACATATTAATACTAACAGTGTACTTATCAGGGAAATATTGGCCTCTTGAATTCTCAGAACCACACAGAAGCTTTTGTCATGCTTTAGGTATGTGAAATCTGTCAGAAATGAAACATACTACCTTAAAAGAATGCTAACGTAGACCTTATCATATAGGTGATATTTTGGATTCAAGGAAATACTAAGAGAGAAAACAACGTAGTGAGATAACGTCTCAGTGGAAGGCCAAGCATTTAGCGAGACACTCCGTAAGCAAAGGGCCTGACTCACAGTGAGTTTTCTTTTCCCTAATGAACACCATGCTGCTAAAAGCAAAGTCAAAGACACCATCTTCAACACTCCAACTTTAACCAGATTCTAATGGTAAGCAGAAGGACACAGCCTGCTTTATACAGTCACCAACCGGTACAGGCCAAAGGGACACTTTGTAGATTAACCATTTCCTGGAGGCAAACAATGTTCCTGGTTCTGACCCTATTCATTCTGCGCACTGAATCATACTGCTGCTTGAACCTTACTATTTACTACTCCGGGCCTTACCTTTCAAAAGGCAGGATGGCCTATTTTTTGGCTCATCCCTTCCAATGATGAAGTCATTGCTATGACTAAGTCCTGACCTTCCGGTGTTCAGGTCCACTGTCCCTGACTGAGCTCTAGCCAAAACTAAACCCACTGATCCATGCAGAGGGAGTAACTTAAGTCATGGGAAAAATCTGAAGTCTCAGACCAGAAAGCAGGCTTTTGCAAAGGGCACGTACCCACTTGCATACGCTAGAAGGGGGTGGCTGCTGGAGCATGAAAGCACAACCCCGGGGCCTGGCAGAAAGCCTGTCTGCACGCGGTCTTCTTGCAAGGTCCCCCAGGGCAGGGTGTCTGCACTTCTCCAGCAGATGAAAGCTTCAGCGCTGCGCTACTTTCCTTCAGCGCAATGCAACTGGCTCCCTCCTCTTCTGTATTCCTGGACCGGATTTCCTCAGGCCTAAAAGGTGGAGGAGGGGGGAAAAAAAAAAAAAAAAGTAAGAGCATGAAAGACGATGAGAGGCTAAAGCCCGAGGCTGACAAGGACCACAGTGGGTGACACAGTGGGCAGTGCCTTGTGACAGAGCTTGGGCAGTCTAAAGAAGGCAGTGGACACACGAAAAGTTGAAAGCATCTGAGGCTCACAAGGACTCCTAAATGGCTCGGCCCCCACTGGGGCCACAGGTCCCACGGTGGGTAGAGGCAAGGGGGTCGGAGAGGGCTCGGCGGCTGCCTGAGATGCCCAGGGGAGGTCCACCAGCTGTGAGCGAGAAAGGGAAGCAGTGCGGCGGCGGGATCGGCGGCGGGATCGGCGGCGGGCGCGCTTCCGCAGCCACCCCGCCGCGCTCCGGACCCACTCCGCGCTCCGCACCCACTCCGCGCTCCGCACCCCGCACCCACCCCGCCACCCTCCCGGGAGGAGGAGGATCCCGCACGTCGCCCGCCACCAGAATCGGCCCCCTGCTCCACCCGGACAGCCCCCCGGCAGGTGCTGAGGGGCCCGCGGAAGCGGCTTCGCCTGGCTCCAGACCCCGACCCACGGGCGCGGGCGGGGAAGAAGGGCATACTTCCCTCGCGTGGCCGGTGGGCTCCCGGGAGCCCTGCCGCCGCCGCCGGGGTAGGGCAGGGTCTGCGTGAAGGCTGAGAGCGCCCGCCTTCAGGGTTCGCAGGCGGCGAAGGCGCCGGGCGGAGTCCGCGGAGAGGCTGCATTCGGGTGGGGGGAAGGCGCGCTGGTGCTCTGAGAGGCGCGGCGCGCAGCACGGCGGCCGCGGGAGGGCGGCGGGTGAGGGCTCCGCGGATCGCCGAGCGAGTCCCACCTGGAGCCGGGGGAGCCGGGGCTGCGGAGGAGGAGGAGGAGACGGCCGCCGTCTGGGCACGTCGGAGTCGTCATAACTGGCTGGCTGGTGGCTCATCGGAAACTCGGCGCCGGAGTTGGCCAGGGGGCGCCAGGGAGCCGCCGGGACAGCGAGGCGGCCTGCGCCGGGAGGCGGGCCCGAGCCCCGCAGTGGGGCAGGGGCAGGAGCCGGGGCCGGGCGCGCGCCCGCGGGACGCACGGCAGCGGGGCGGGGGCTCGGTCTGCGCTGCCCCTCGCTACCGGGCGGAGAGGGAGAGCCGCTGAGCCGGAGAGCGAAGCGGGGTCTCGAAGCTGCACCGGCCCCCTCGGGGGGAGGCGAAAAGGCGCTCGGAGGACTCGGCACACCTGACTCTCCCGGTCTTCATTCTGGTTGCGTCTTCCTGACGCGGGTGGTTACCGTCTGCTTCATTAGAGAAGTTGCCGCATTCACTTTGCAACGTGAGCGCGAAAGGAGTTGGCTGCACCTTCTGGCGGCGGGGATTCCGGGGTACTTGCTTCTCTCCGTACTTGGGGGCAACTCGCCAAGTTCAAATGCTCTTCTGCGGAGTTGAAGTTTTATCCTTGGATTATTTTATAATTATTTGAATTCCTTTATAATTATATGGGTTATTTTATCATAATTATTTGAATGCGCATCCGCCACACTGTCTTCACTTTGGACATCTTGGGTTCTAGAATGCTATCTCGTATAGCATAGGAGCATTACGGACTCAACTTGAACTGATTAACTAAAGGTTGATGCCATTAAAATAAACTTAGGCTCACACACAGAGTCACCACTATTCCTATGACCTTAAAGAAACACGACAGTTTATTTCCAAAGGTTTACATGCTTTTTAAATACTTTTTGAAGATGCTGTTATGAGAAGTATTACTAGTAATCTGCTAAATTAGGAATGTTGTCTGGATTTTTCCCCCAAATAACAACACCGCTAAAACAGAGTAACTTGACATGAGCCAGGCATAATCCTAAAGCACTTCACAGTATCAAGTCATTTACTCTTCATGTTAAAGACTGCCTTTAAGGGAACTACTGCTCTCTAATTTCATACTTTGCCCACCCCATACCAATAAAGGCAGTACTTTTTAAAAGTGCTTCTAAGCTTACTTGTCACCATCCCATTTTTGTCATGTACAGGAAATGGAGCTTTCCTGTTAGGTTATTCAAAATGAGTTGTAATCATTTAAAATAAGTTTTTCTCACTAAGCCATGTGACGTATATTTATATTTATTATACGGTTTTTAAACATAATACCTGAGAAAAGTTTCTAAAAATAAGTTAATCTCATTGCAAGGACATACAAGTCAATTAAATTGGTGTCACATACACATGGTACTATTTTAAATGGCTAAATATTAAGTTGTGGTCATTCAGGCTCAGAGGAAACAAGATAGGATAGAGCTTTAAGAACGGGAGAGTGATTCTGCAGCAGCTATTTGTAACATAGAATTTCTACCCAAAATACCAATCTTAAATTTTTCAAAAAATGTTTATTTATTTCTGAGACAGAGACAGAGCATGAGGTGGGGAGGGGTAGAGAGAGAGGGAGACACAGAATCTGAAGCAGGCTCCAGGCTCTGAGCCGTCAGCACAGAGCCCAAAGTGGGGCTCAAACTCACAAACCGTGAGATCGTGACCTGAGCCACCCAGGAGCCCCCAATCTTAAAATTTAATTTTGAACTTTAAGTGGACAGTAAAATAAATTGAAATGTCCATTAATGTTGGACTGACTGACTACATTGTGGTATATCCACACAAGGTACTATGCAGGTGTAAAAAAATTTAAAAAAAGAAACGAGAAATATCTTTATACACTGCAGGGTGTATTGAGCGGGGAAAAGATGGTAATATACTATTATTTACCCAGGAAAGAGGATATATATGTTATTTTACAAATAGAATAACATTTAAAATGATTATCTATAGGGGGGAAGAGGGAATATGGGTATAGGGACAAAGAAAATAACTTCCCTAGATGTACATTATATAGAAGTGGCTTTAGAATCATGTGAATATTTTACATTATGAAACAAAATTAAAATTTTTAAAAGTAATCCTTCAAAATTACAAGTAAAATGAAACTAAGTGAATTTAAACACTGTCCAGTTGTGCTGTAGTCCACAAGGAAGGGACTATCCCAAGTGACTTTGAAACATAGTACATCCCAGTAGATGTACCCTCAGGATTAAAAGAATTTTAAAATCATAAACTGTTTTCATGAACTCAATTGTTGGTGGGAATATTGGTTAGGATAAACCAAATAGAAATAATTAAGACAGTATCTTGGAAGGTGAATTTTTTGACATGTGGTATAGATGTAAGCCTGATAAGGTTATATAAAAATCCTGTAGTTACGAATTTGGAGGTGATAATATAAATTAACATACTTTATTACTGAAAACAAATCTCTCCTCCATCATCCATTGAAAAGGCCTATAAACAACCAACTCTGTAGCAAGAAGCACCTGTTGTACCCAGAATGTGATCTCTGCAAACCTCTTCTCATTAAAAGGAACATGGGTTCCAAAGAAAAATGGATCATCTTAGATGTGGGGCAGGAAATGTACAAGAAGCTGAAAGATCTTACATGAGAGGGCAGGGAAGTAATTAAAGTTTATAAGGGCCATATCAAAAGGACTCAGGAACCAATTTAAAAAGGCTCCCTCTGGCCAAAGACAGAAGAATTTAAATCATCAATAAAGGTAACTGTAATGGATTAAAGCATCTATAAATATTATACTCAAAAAGTTCCAACCAATCAACCAAATACATAAGCCAAAACCTCACTGTTCATCTCTGATGGCAGAAGGGAACCAACTCTTCATGTGAAAACTGGTAAATGAAGTAAACAAATCAAACATATTTATCCCATCTTTCCTATATGAGTCATGCATGCTGCACGTAATCAAATGATGAGGTACTTTTTACAGAAACTTTCCATACTTAAATATGATAATCAAATCATATGTCTGAAACTTGCTTCAAAATAGTGTGGATTGAGGGGCACCTGGGTGGCTCAGTTGATTAAGCGCCCGACTTCAGCTCAGGTCATGATCTCGCGGTTTGGGAGTTCGAGCCCCGCATCAGGCTCTGTGCTGACAGCTTGGAGCCTGGAGCCTGCTTCAGATTCTGTGTCTCCCTCTCTCTCTGTCCCTCCCCTGCTCACAGTCTCTCTCTCTCTCAAAAATAAACATTAAAATTTTTTTATAAAGTGTGGATTGAGATGAAGCACACATGGACTATAAATGAAACAAAATGGGCCATGAACTGTTGAACCCTGTTAAAGAGTATGTTAGCGAGTGTCTGGGGATTCATAATCTGTTCTCTCATTTGTACAGGTTTGAAATTTTATATAATTTTTATAGTGCATTGCAATTTTATTATATGTTTTAAGCTTGCTACACACATAGCGACACTTGGCTGGCTCATAGTGTCAGCAAAATGCTGAACTATGAGCATACAGCTGATTGGCTCTCTGATACATCCAGCTGCTTTAAACTGTAATTCAAAGGCTGAAGTTTTAAGTGAAGTTTTGACAAAAGTTGGTCTTATGCTAAAGTGATCTATATGCTTATGGTTTTACAGAAAAGGAGAAAGACACTGCACTTAATGGTTCAGAGCATGCTCTCTGGAGCTGAACAGCACAAATGAGAACCGCATCATTGCCACTTACTTGCCATATGAACCTAAGCAAGTAGACCATTCTTCATTTTAAAAATGGACCATTTGCAACTCCGTGGATGGGACTGGAGGGTATTATGCTAAGTGAAATTAGTCAGAGAAAAACAAATATCATATGACTTCACTCATATGAGGACTTTAAGAGACAAAACAGATGAACATAAGGGAAGGGAAACAAAAATAATATAAAAACAGGGATGGGGACAAAACAGAAGTAGACTCATAAATATGGAGAACAAACTGAGGGTTAGTGGAGAGATTGTGGGGGGGGGGATGGGCTAAATGGATAAGGGGCATCAAGGAATCTACTCCTGAAATCATTGTTGCACTATATGCTAATTTGAATGTAAATTTAAAAAAAATAAAATAAAAATAAATGGAAATAATGGTATGGACTTTAAAGGCTGATCTGAAGATAACAGTGTAGGTAGGTATACAATCCCTCTTCCAAAATCCTTGGAACCATATGTGTTCCTGAATTTTTTTTGGAAAGAATAGGGTGTTGCACACAGTTTACTACTTAACACCTTCACTGTGCCCTGGCTTAACACCCCATAATCCCACACAGTTCTGCACAAAATATATGATTACTCACACCGAATGAGATAAAGCCTCTAAATAGCCCCATGTCAGTAAAGGTCAGGCTTTACCACCAAAGCAGATCTGGTAATAAACTTATAAAAATACCAATTAGTTTTCAGAGTTTTCTAGACTTCAAAACAGTGGATAAGGGATTATGAGCATATTTCAGTTAATTCTTTCCACAGTAACAAAGTAAGTAAGCAGTGTGTTTGCCATAATCAACATGACCACAGATTTGTGAACAGTATGTATTTTTTAAAATGAAGACTGAAATTTCAGGAGACAAATGGGCATGGCGTTGTAAAAAACTGAAAGAACACCTCTGTTCGTCACTACATGTAACAGCAACAAGAGAGCTCAATATTAAGCAAACAGCAACACCTCTTAATACCCCTTTGCTTAGTATTATTTGAAGTTTCTAAATTTAAACTTAGCTTAGTTAGAAGCAGGGCAGAATGGGGAATAAATTCTGGATAGCACCAATAGCAAATTCTGTGCCGCAATCGTGGACCACTGAAGAATTTGGGGCTTTTTTATTTGTTTTGAGAAGTATTTAGTATTAAGAAGAAAAAACCACTAATTTCCCTTCTGTCTTATTAAAAGATCTTGATTTGCTAAAGTTAGAATGGATAGATGTTAGGGCAAAAGCTTGTATTTCTAAGAATCAAAGTTGCAAAGTTCAATAGTACAAACAGTATGAACTCAGGGTAGGTAACTCAGGAAGACAGGACAACTTATTTTATCTACTATTATTTCAATACATAACTGTTTTAAGACTTTTAGAAGAATATCCCGACAGTGTGATTTTTAAAAGACTAATTATCCTTACAGTAATTTAGTGGCAAAAGGAAATTCTCAGAATTGTTTTCCAAAAACATATCTTCATTAGAAAAACTATCCTTAATACTATTAACAGTCTTCACAATATAAGTTACAATATAAGTTGGGCTTATCCTCATTTTAAAATATGTATTTTAGGGGTACTTAGGTGACTCAGTCAGCTAAGTGTCTGACTCTTGGTTTTGGCCAGGTTATGACCTCAAGGTTCAGGAGTTCAAGCCCCAAGTCAGCTCCACATGGACAGGCCTGAACCTGCTTGGGATTCTGCCTCCCCCTCTCTCTCTGCCCCTCCCCCACTCTCTCTCTCTCTCTCTCTCTCTCCCCCTCTCTCTGTCTCAAAATAGATAAAAATAAACTTAAAAAAAACGAACTCCAAAGTTATACAAGTTATATTATCTTCATAAAACAATACTATTAGTCATTGGCCAGTCTAAATTACGTTAACAATGAAATAAATTATTAATATTTTAAAATCTTTATTAAAATCAGATCCATGCTTATTTACATTACCTTTCATTTAGAATTAAAATATTATGTCAATCTGTAGTTTAAATCATACTTTTAGCCCTTTACAAAATATGAAATTAAAGTTGCAGTGTAAAACTGAATGAAATACGGGCGATTAGATTTTTAAAGGAAAATAAAAAATTATGATACACTAGAAAAAAATGTATATATACTAGACAAATAGTAAAACAAGATAAAGATATCTATAGTCACTTTCTTTTTTTTCTTGTGGATATTTTCTAAATACTACAAATCATATACTTTTAATACACATCTGCAGAAATTTTCAATTAAGAAATCAAATGCCAATTGAGGGATCATGCGAAAAAAAAATTCACTTAATTAACTCCAAAAACTCATGTTTCCCCAGGTCAGAAGTTATTCATATTCAGAATACTTCAAATCATAATACAGATACATTCGGTACATTCCCATATGCTAAGGAGTATACAACTGGAACTTCTCAAAAAAGAGGAAATGAAAAAGAAAGAAATGGTAGTCATCAATTTAGCTTCCCAGGAGTTGGAAAAACACCTAGTCTGTATTCAGCTGTCTACATATCAACAAGGTTCACACCTCTTCTACTCTTTTTTTATATTGTTGAAATTATTATCATTTGTAATATCTATTTTCTTTCAAGATTAGAAACATCTGATTGCAAACTATTATAAACATTACCTTACTAGAATATGGATGGAGAAGTTTTAATGACACACAGCAAAATACAGCAACCAAAATTCTATAGGTGTTCTGCCACTTAGTGGAATTTTTCAAGAAACTCATTCCCTACACCTTCTCAACTTATAAAAATGTACTGAGACATCTAAGTGTATAATAAAATACGTATGACTATTCATTATTAATTTTTGGATAAAGAACATAAGGTAATATATAGCCAAGGCTTTAAACAAATGCTTATCATTTTTGAGTTAAATAAATTGAAAACACTTTTAAAATTTTAAGTTGAATTGATTTTATTAATGTTAATAAGAATTAAGAAAAGAGAATGTTTACTACTTTGAAATTGAAAGGTATAGGTTTTATTTCAATCTTTTCTCCACAACTGAAGACTTTATTTTCTCACTAATAGATATTTTAAAAGAATAGTTTTGTAATTTCTAAACTTCTAGTTTCAAATGCTTGACAGAATTTTGCAACTTAAGTTTCCTATATTTTCTAATTCTGTACATTTTTTTATTGCTATCAGTCTTGTCATTCCTTGTCAGCCCCTGAATATTAAAAAACAAAAAAAAAAAACAAAAAAAAAAAAAAATCCAAGCTGACAAAAAGCTATTACACTGCTTCTTACCACTAATATATAGAAAATTAATTGTATGAGTTTGGTTCACACTGAAAGAGTATTTATTAGTGCTACAAATCAGAGATCCATGACAGAAACACTGTCTGGAATACAAAAAGAATAAAAATGAGGTCACTTGAATTGCCCTGAAAAGCATTCCAAATTCTTCAACATGGCTTGCTTGTAGCTATACTCCCAAGTTCTAGTGTTTAAAATTAAACTAAATTTTAAATGCGAGTTTTTATTCCCACCTAAAGGCAGCTAAATGACTTTGAGTAATAAAATGTATCAAAATATATCACAAATCTAAAACACAGCCTAGTTAACTTTTAAACAAAATAACATTTGAAAGAAAGCATAGCTGTTTTTAAAGCTTTTTCCACACTATTTTTGTGTTTAAATTAAGTTTTGAGAAAAAGTAAAATGATAAATTACACAGAACTGCAAAATGCCAAATTTAAATTAACTCCTATAACCTCTCTATTTTGTTATGAATATTCTGTAATATCAAACATTGATTTTTAATGTGCCAAAAAATAAGGCTTTACAAAATGTGAACAATTAATTTTTAAGAGAAAATTATGTTATTATTTTATCACTTTTGATTCATTTTATAGGGTAGTAAAACAATACTTCAAAATCACTTAAATGTCACTGATACCATCAAAAAATCATTGTAAGTAAAATTTTTCCACTATCCAATCATGTCTATATAACTAACTGAATAGGTATAGCTTTTACCAGAGAGGTAAACTTTTCACAGACTTAATTATAGAATTTGGGTGAAATAATTTCACGGGCCACAAAAATTTTTAAGTTTAAATCATTCACCCTTTAAACTTAGACAGTGTCAGCATGACTTCTACTTAAAAAAAAAAATTAGCTCAAAATTTAGTAATTGCAGGTTTAATATTTTTTTTTACCTGAAGACTAAATGTTCATTTTCAGCAAGTAATAATTAGACATGTTGAATTGTGGAAGATTTCAAAGTTTTAGTATGTTAATACCACTCTTTAAATGTCCTTAATATATACAAACACATATAAATTAGACAATTAATTATATATTTACAATACCACATATGAACACCATATGAACACCATTCTCTTTCCCTAACCATACTGATATGAGGAAAAGTAGTTAATCTCTGTGCTTTCAAGACAAAAAAAAAAAAAAAAAAAAAAAAAAAAAAAAAAAAAGAAAGAAAAAAAAAGGTGCTTTAAAAAATAAATCTTTAAAGAATAGTTTCAAAAATAAAGTTCAAATATTGCACAAAATAATTTAATTGCAATTATTACTATATACTATAAAACAAATTTTTTTCAGTTTTTGAACTCTACAGTAAATTCCACTTTCTAATTCTATAAAAGAATTTATTGGAAGTCTACATTTTAGATATTAAATGTTTACATTCAGTTTGATGGGAATGTAATTTTTAGAAGTTAACTGAGTCTTTGTCTTAAAAGTTCATCTATTTGAGTCTTATACATATTTTTTACATCTTCAAGATCTAATCGAAGTTCTTCTGCCTCTTCTGCTTTCTCTCCATACATTTGCAGAATAGTGTTGTATCTCTGATCCAAATCCTACAAAAAATGTGTTCACAATTTTTAAAATAACTTCATAAAACATCTTTAATATTATATTTTTATTATAAATGAGTCACCAGTTGACCAGTAAACACATTAACAATCTAAATAAAGGTATATTGTGATCTCTTATAAAAATTAAACTGATACTCCAACCCATTGGAATAAACAGCAAGTAAAGGAATTAAAAAAAGGAAAGAAAAAAACCTAAGCCAAATGGCTATCAATTTTGCCATATATCTCCACCATTCTATAATTCTCCCTATATAAAGCTTAATCTGTCTTTTCTCCCATTAACATACATGTGATCAAATTTTAGTCTTTCTGGTTCATTGCAGTTTAATTATTACCTGGCATTTACCCCACAAAAAAAGCTGAAAGAAAATATATTCTCATCTATGGCCTAACTGTGACCCCTTATGCCAAATATGCAAATTGCAATGATACACATAACATCAATGAACAAAATACTAGTAAGATCTTGTAAAAGAGCTATATTATAAATGAGCCATGGTCAAATAAAATCTAGTTATTTTCCTATATTAGGGCTACACATGATTATGAAAAATACTTTGTGTAATGTGACAAGCTAGAAGATTCTTTAAACTTCTTTACTGAAATATTAATACCAGTTTTTAAACAAATCATTAACTTATACATATGCATTTTATGTAAGCTAAAAATATGAGATTTAGTACAACTGGATAAAAATATCTTAGACTTATCCCTAAGTGAAGAATACTTACTCTTAGCTGAGTTCGAAGTTTGGGTATCTCCTTCACTTTCTCTTCAAGTTCATCATTTTGATTAGTTAATTTAACCAGCTCTTCAGCCATTATTGAGCGGGTTTTTTCTAGATTGCCAATTTCCAGCTGAGAAACATCACCAGAAACAAATTTAAATAAATATATATCTTGTCTAATAGTCCCACTAATATAAACAAATTCAATATTATTTTTGAAAAAATAGACATGTCAACAAATAACCATGAAATAACACTTTCTTAAGGAAATGGTGGCAAAAATAAGGCTTTCTGCTTTCCTCAGAGATAACCATCTACAGGGCTCACTATGAAAGAAAAAGAACTAAAGAAAATTCACTGTTTGAAATATGCAGCCCTATATTTTTCTCTAGAAAAGCAGCATGTATTTCAGTTATTCTAAATTACTACAGAAACTCAGAGAAATAAAAACATACTTTAATGCAGGCCCAGCTGTGCAGGTCATATTGAAAGAATCTATCATCACTACCAAAGAAGTTAATATGGGCCCTCAAGCATAACACACTGGGCTACCCAAATATAACATGTATTAAAATTATTCTGATTTTTCCCCCCAATTCAAACACTTCTTCTTTAATGGAGTAATACTTTCAACTACCTAAAAGTATATAATGAAAATAAAAGAGGAAAGATTTACTTCTGAGTGTATTAAGTTTAACACTGAAATCAGATACATCTCTCACCATATTCAATTTTTAAAAAGCAAGGTAAGATGGGAGGGTGCTCCTTCCCTACTCATGACGTTTCCTTTCATGTGCAGGTGTTATAGTTCTCATCTCGCTCATATTCTCTACTCCTTCCTCACAAAGGGGAGCGATTAAACTAAATGGTAAATTTGGGAAGAATAAAATGACGATGTTCAGATAAGCAACTTCCCTCTTTTTAATGTTTGGAAAAAGGTGCCTGCAGGGAGCTCTCTGCTCTCCTAGATGCTTCCAAGTCTTAGCTACAGCAAGCTACAGCACAGGGGGAGGCCCACTACGGTCCAGCACTGGCTGTGCTATGTGGAGCAGGTCAGCATTCCTAATTCTGGCAGTCCATTAGCAGGCTCATTCGGCTCTTATCCTTGGCTAATTTCTCCAGTCTGTATTATAGATATATGTGATACATTTTAAACTTCATATGCAACCATTTCACTTTATATCTCAATTTGCTTAGACTTGAGGTGGAAACGAAGGGTGCTATTTATTGGGCCCCAAAATTTCATTGACTTCAGTAGCACATTTAATTTTTCCAATACCTGTAAATGAGTAATTTCTCCTTCCCTCAGCTTTAGCTGAGACTGTAGATTTTCAATAATGCTGGATCCTGCTCCCATTCTTACAGCATCATAAAGATTGTTTCCATTTGCTGATACAGACATTGGTCCAAATGAATGATCATGAGGCTCATCCTATATTAAACGAACCATATACAGTTTTTCAGTTACTACAGACTGAGTTCCAAAACAAAATGGTTGTTAATTCTTGCTTTAAAATGTCTGTAACTTTTTCAAAGTCAGAAAATCATCTACAGTTCCTCAGTCCAATTAGAACTTCTTCAAGAATATTCACATGAGTTGCCTATGGAATGGCAAGGTCATAGTTGATAGCCAAAATGCTACCTGAATTTCCTTTACCATCATTCAGTTTATTTATTTTTTAAAATTGTATTATTTCTTTTGAGAGGGGGAGGGGGAGAGGGGGAGAGAGACAAAGACAGAGAAAGCTGGGGGAGAGCCAGAGAGAGAGAGTCCCAAAGAGCCTCCACAGTGTCAGTGTGGAGCTCACATGGGGCTCAAACCCACAAACTCTGAGATCACGACCTGAGTCAAAACTAAGAATTGGACGCTCAACCAACTGAGCCACCCAGGAATCCCATCATCGTTCAGTTTAACAACTAGGCACATGTAAGAAATAAAATACCACCTGAGACAGAAAAGATGTCTGTAGCCCTGCCATATCAACTCCACTTATTGAACTTGATCGTGACATTGTGGGAGTGCTAGAAACAGAAAATGGCTTCCGTTCCTTAGGGAGTAAAAAAAAAATTCAGATCACATTAAAGACTAAAATGGTAAAAAAAACTAGTAAACTTTTTTAGGATAAATGACAACAAAGACTCATTCTTATTTCCTCATAAAATGTTACAGATAGGATATCTGAAGTCTTTAATAAAGGCACAAATACTTAGTAACTTAAAAACTAGACAGACTTGGTCAAATCATCTAAGGAACCATTTATATTACAACATAATTTACTTTTAATGGAATGAGAATGTTTTTGTTCTAGCAAGTATATGAACTAACTTCTTCATATGATTATACATTATGTGTATAACATAACCACCAATTAAACCTAATTCTTTAGAATCAGGTTGCTAATGAGTGTTACAAACCACAAATTTTCTGGCTTATCCATTTTATTTTTTTTAATGATTATTTATTTTGACAGGGAAAGAGAGGGAGAGTGCAAGCAGGGAAGGGGCAGCGAAAGAGGGAGAGTAAGAATCTCAAGCAGGCTCTATGTTGTCCGCGCAGAGCCCAATGCAAGGCTCAAACTCACGATTGGGGTTAAGACCATGACCCAAGCCGAAATCAGGAGTCAGTCGCTCAACTGAATGAGTCACCCAGTTCCTCCCCATTTTATTTTTACTATGTATTTTTAAAATTCCAAATAAATTTGGGGCACCTGGGTGGCTCAGTTGGTTAAGCATCCGACTTTGGCTCAGGTCATGATCTCACGGTTTGAGAGTCTGAGCCCCGTGTCGGGTTCTGTGCTGACATCTCAGAGCCTGGAGCCTTCTTCAGATTCTCTCTCTCTCTCTCTCTCTCTCTCTCTCTCTCTCTCTCTCTCCTCCTCCTCCTCCTCCTCCTCCTCCTCCCCCACTCATGCTCTGTCTCTCTCTCTCTCTCTCTCTCTCTCAAAAACAAACATAAAAAAAAAAAAATTTGAAATAAATAAATAAATAAATAAAATTCCAAATAAATTCAAAAGGTAATCTCCATATACATGTAGGTAGTTTTAACATATCATGCTATCTATCAAGTATAGTCTAATCCTATACAGGAAACTCATTTTAAAAAATTGCTTTCATTAACCAGAAATAAAGAGAATAAACTAGTTTTATTCCCACAGTGCCTAGGGGCCTAATGAGGTATATTAGTTTCAGTGAGAGAACACAAAATTCATTTAAAAATGGGCAAGAGGTTCTGTGATTCAAATCCTAGAAATCACAGATCTCTTTGGATAAACTTAAGTTACTTTGGATCTACCCTGACAGGCTACTGAATATTAGAATTTATCACTCTATTGATGTTAGACATTAGAAATGGTATTTATAAAGTATAACTAAAATTATATAACAACGTTTAATAACAACACCACTAACTGGTTACCCCAAAAACAAAACAAAAACCAAAATTCAATACCTTTTCTTTTACTGCTTCTTGGGTGAAAACTGCTTTCTTCCTTTCTTGTTCAACTTTCATTTTCTCCATTTCTAACTGACTATTCAATAGTGTCTAATGGAGAAAAATATAGTTAGGTAATTTCTGTGAAGCTAAATCATCATTGTAAGTCAACTTTAAAGTCAAGAACATAAAACATATATTCCCATTTGTTTTACTACTAAAGACCAAGTTCCAAAAGTAGTCTTATCACCCATTTCATCATGGCATCTCATTAGTTCATTACCATCCCCAACTATTCTCGGGTGGAAGCCCTAGAAGTGAGCAAACATTGGTTTTTTTCTTTTTTTTTTTTTCTTGAGCAAACATAGTTAAATACCTTTTCTTTCCTTGTCTCTTCAAGTGTTCTTACATATTCATCTTTTAGGTTTTCTAATTCAACCTGGTACCTAGTAAGCCAGAGAGAAGTAAACAAAAAAAAGGAGATGATAGTACGGACTACTGAAAACTCACTACTTTATTAACTCTTTAATAGTAATTTCTATTTCCAGCTTGATTTCCCAACCATATTTTCCAGATGATGTGGGTTTTACATTCAGAAGCTAAGCTACTACTTCTGTGCATTTTAGTGTATTGCTGCTCTATGCTAGGATTTAATTAAAAAAAAAAAGAATTTTGAATACCACCAGTCTATAACAGGTTCAGATTCTGCAAAAGCTTCTTAGGGAGTTCTTTGAAAATGTTTATAGATGTTCAGGTATTTTATTTCATAAATCATTTTTACTTCACCACTTTTTTCTAATTAAAATCTCTAAGGAAAAAAAGAGTAAAACCACACTAATCACAGTCTTAATAAAAATTCAGAGAGATGGCTTTTATAGCTTATGGTTCCAAAGAAGCCAGACATTTATTTAGAAAGACTGGAATACTGCTAAGACCCTTGTAAAATATAAAACTATAAAAGTAACTCCAATGAGTGGTCTCCAAACTATTTTGCACTTACAGATTCCTTTAAAAAAACCGATTAATGAATCCTTCCCCTGGAAAATGCAAATACACACAGAACATGCCACACAATTTCATGAACCTATCTATGTAAAGTTCAGTGAATCCCCAAACCACCTGGCTACAATATTCTATTACTAATGATTCTGACTTGAAACACTTTAACATTCTTTTTACATGCTTTAATATGGCACAAAATACCAAGAATAACACTCAAGAAACATGCTCACCTACTATTTTCATCCTCCAGTTTTCTTAGCTTATTTTTCTCTGATTCTAGCTGGGCCTGAAATCTACTATTTTCCTGCCTTAAGAGAGAATTCTGTGACTCCATGGAAGACATTTGAATTTTGTTGGCAAGGAGTTCTTCTGTAGCTGCACGTTCTCTTTCAACTGCTGCTGCCAACAAGGTCTGGGATTCACCTGATGGTAGGGTAAAAAAGAAAAATCACATATATCAAGAGGCCAAAATATCAAGTAGATTCTGACTTCAAACTGTTAATGATTCAAGGAGCCATACTGAAATCAGTTTATTGCCAAAAGCAGGACTGCCTCCAACAAACAAAAGAACAAATCTGCTTCTATCTGCTTTATTACTTTTTCCCAAAATATTTCAATTTGTATGTGGAGTCACATATTTTAAAATATCAACAAATGGTGCTGGAGCAACTGGATATCCACAGGCAAAAAGGAAAAAAAAGGAACCTCAAACTAAACTTCTACCATAAATGAAAATTAACTCAAAATGGATCATAAACTTAAACGTAAAACAAAACTGTAAAACAATAAAAAAAAAGACTACAGGAGAAATCTTCAACATCTAGGGACAGGCAAGGAATATTTGTTAGACACCAAAAGCAGAGCCATTAAAGAAAAACAGATAAATTGGACACCTTCAAAATTTTAAACTTTTGCTTTTGCGAATAGGATAAAAAGACAAGCTACGGAGTTGGAGGGAAAAAAATGCAAAACACATTATCTAAGTCTAGTGTCTAGAATATATAAAAAAAAGTCTCAAAACTCAGTAGCGAAAATAAAGAATCCAGTTAGAAAATAGGCAAGACATGAAAAGTTATTTCACTCAAGAGGCTATAGGAATGAAAAATAAGCACATGAAATATATTCAACATTAGTCATTAGGGAAATGAAAATGAAAATCACAGTCAGATATCACTACACACCTGTCTGAACCACTATTAAGAAAAAACAGGGAAAAGACAACATCCTTGCTGGCAAGGATATGGAGCGACTAGATTCCTGTCACACCTACAGCCACTTTGGAAAAACAGTTTGGCATTTTTTTAAAAAACTAAACATACAACTACCCACACAACCCAGTAAGTGAACACTTAAGCATTCACCAGAGAAATGAAAACATGTTCACTCTAAAACCTGGACAAGAATGTTCACCAGAGCTTTATTTGTGTGAAAAAATCTAGAATGAGCCCAGATATCCTTCATTAGGTAGATGGTTAAAGAAAATGTGCTACGCACATACCATGGAAACACAATGAGCAATGAAAAGACTAAATCACTGATGCACACAGTAACTTAAACAAACTTCCCGGGAATTATGCTGCAAGAGAAAAAAAAAAAAGCCAATCCCAAATTGTCACACAGTATGTAATTCTATTGCTGTAACATTTTGAAATTCCATAATTTTAGACAGAGGACAGATTAGTGATTGCCAAGATTTGAGACAGGTGAGAAAGGCCACGAGGATGGCAAAGTGAGGTTTTAAAAGGACAACGTAAAGGATCTTTGTGGTGCTAGAAGTGTTCAACATCTTGAGTGCAGAGATGGGGACATGAACACACACAAATGACAAAATTGTGCAGTACTTAATACAGACACACACAAATGAGTACCATTAGAACTGGGAAAATCTGATTAAAATCAGTAGATTGTATCAAGTCAACGTAATGGTTGTGATATTATATTTTAATTTTGCAGTGTTAACATTTGGGGATGTTGGATAAAGCATGCAAAGTACCAACTGTATTATTTCTTATAACTGCAAGTGAATCTACAATTATCTCAATCAAAATTTTCAATTAAAAAAAGATTAGTGCATACAACTCAAGATTTAACCGAAAATTCTACTTCTCCCCCCCACCAAAATAGACTTAACACCATCTCTATTTTTCACTTTATATTGTTACATACTGTATCTGTGCTATTTTCTTTCTTTTTTTTTTTTTTTTTT